GGCGTTACTCTCGCTTTTTTTTTAGAATATCTGGAAAGGTTTGGAGTTCAAGTGACTTGTTGAAGAGCAATGCAATAGCAGGGGCTAAAGATCTGGAAGCTTTTTTGTAGATTAAAGTTGGTATCTCCTCAAGGGCACTAGACTTGGTTTTAAGGGAAAGGATTATCTCATTGACGTCAGTGGAATTAATAGGCTTTAGGTACAGAGACTGTGGATAGTTACCTGTAAGATAGTCCTTAATGTCAGTACTGGAAGATGGAATATCATTAGCAAGGGATGAACCAATGGAAGAGAAGAACCTATTGAACTCAATAGCAGAATCAGAGGCTGAAAGCTGACCATCGTTATTAGACAGGAGAGTCGGTTTGTTATTTAAAGACTTCTTTGATCCCAATATTTGTGAAATTGTTCTCCAAGTTTGTTTAATGTTGCTCTTTATTTGGGTAAATTTATCTTCGTAGTATTTACTTTTGGCTCGTCTAATTATCTTAGATAGCAATAATGAGTAATTCTTTGAGAATTCTTTGGAGACAATTCCTAACCTATACTTCTTCTCAAGGTCATGTTTTTTATTAATAGATTTAAGTATTCCCTTTGTAAGCCAGGGATTGTTAAGCCTTTTGGTTGTGACTTGTTTTGTAAGCATAGGACAGTGGGTATTATAAAGGCTAAGAGTTTTTTGAAGAAAAGATTGCACTGCTAGGTTGATGTCCTCTATGTTACCTAACTCGGACTCCCAGTTGACATTATCAGTAGCAGTTATAAAATTGTCTATAGCAGTTTCATCGTGTAGTCTAAAACGTATCTCTCTTGACTCAAGAGGTGGTTTGCTAATGTTAGTTAAGAGAAATGTGGGGTATTGGTCTGTAGTGCTATCGGTGATTATACCTGAAGTAAGCGGAGAGGTTATGTTTGTCCAGATGTGATCTAGAGTCGTGGCAGTGCTATCAGTGATTCTAGTAGGCCTAGTGATTAAGGGTATGAGGAAGCAGGAATTCATACAGTTGAGGAAGCTAACAGCAGTTGGGTGTTCTGGCTCGCAGAGGTCAATATTAAAGTCCCCTGCGATAATTAGGAGGTTTTTGTTCAGTCTGTTATCAAGTATTAGATTTCTAAGGTTTGAGTTGAATTCGGACACATCAGTGTTAGGAATTCTATAAACTGCACCCACAGACAGGACAGACTCGGCACCCTTGACTCTGAAGCTGGCGAAGATATACTCCCTATAGCAGTCTCTAGTTCTAATTTCTTTTAAGCATGTTAGTTCTTGGTGGTAGTAAAGAGCAGTGCCTCCACCTCTCTGAAGTTGACGACAGTTGTGAATTGCTGAGTAGTTAGGCATGTTAAAGAGTTGAGTAGTATCCTCTTTCAACCATGTTTCAGTAAGTATAATAAAAGAGAATTTGTTGTCAATAGTTTCAATCAAGGCACTAACATCATCGAAGTGTTTACCTAGGGATCTAACGTTCAAATTGATTACAGAGATATTGTGATTATGAGTTAATACATTGTTTACATCATGTGCTGCAAAATATCTGCAATTTAGATCATTAAAGTGATTATTGTCATAGATAGTGGATAAGAGGTTAAGTTCTGGGTCTATACTTGACTGCATAGAAAAAGCTGATTGCAGGAAAAACAAGGAAAGAAAGGCAAATTACAAGGTAGAAATAAGCTATAAAATAGGGAAAAATATGTACACAATACTGTGCAAAACAAACACAAAAGGGGCTTACAGGGGTACAATGGAGTAAGGGAGTATGGCTAGGCTAGGCAACCTAGGTAATAAATGAGATTAAAGAAAAAACATATAAACATGGACTATACAAAACACAAGTTATAGAAATACAAAACAAAAATATAAACAAGACTAAGCAATACAAAAACAAATTGAGCAAAAATGAAAAATGAGGTAGATTGCTTACAAGTGCTCTCAGGTACACTGTAAGTAACAATAGATAGATAATATATATCAATATAGATAAGAATGTCACGATACAATAAGATAAGCAATTACATGAACAGATGAAAAACAAATCTGCTGTAAAATAGAAAGTAATTATAGCAAAACACAACAATATAATAATATAACAATACAATAAGAGCTTACAAAGTATTGAGTCTGCTAAATTAGAGAATAATTATGGCAAAACACAACAATAAATGCAAGTAAACAAAAGAATTGAAACAATTAGAGGTAGAATAAAGGTCACTAGATAGCCATGGAGGATACACAAGTTTGGTGGAGAGAACAACAAATCAGTAGAGACTGTCAAGATGAATATATAAAAAAATTTGACAAATGATAATTGTAAAGTAAAATAATCTTAAAGATAATAAATTTTATTTAGCTTAGTTTTAACTTATAATTAGTATAAACTTAATTAAAAGAACAAAAATGAGATCAATAATTGATTTTAATAAATGACATAGATCAATAGAAATAAATTTAAAATATAAATGGAATAGGGTAAGATTAGATTTAAGAGTAAAATTTTACAATGAAACTGAGGTAGATGCTTGCATAAGTGCATGGAGACTTGATGGATTATTTAGGAAATTATATGAATAAGAGAACAATAGGTAAATGGTAAGGCAGAGACAGCACCTTAGACAAAGTTAGATTAAGTTAGGTTAGGCTCAGGCACTGAAAGAGTTAATTTAAGTACTGGCTATGAAGAGTGGTAGGCACAGAGCCTCTGCTCCTTCCTTAAGGATCCATGGTGAGATTCCATCCGGGCCTATAGCCTTTGTCACGTTTAAATCTAGCAGATGCTTCCTCACCTCCCCACTGGTAATCTCAAACTCCTCTAGTGGTGTCTGGGTTGGTGTTCCCTCCCTTATCTCTGGGACTTCTCCTTGCTCTGAGGTGAAGACTTCCTGGAATTTCTTATTGAGTTCCTCGCACACTTCCTTGTCGTTTGTAGTGAATCTTTCTGCCCTATCCTCAGTTTCATTACCTGTTCCTTCACTGTTGTTTTCCTCCTGATGTGGCTATGCAGCAGTTTGGATTGAGTCTTTGCCTTGCTCGCTATGTCATTTTCATATTGCCTCTCTACCTCTCTTCTCACCCTGACGTATTCATTCCTGGCGCTCTGGTATCTTTCTCTGCTCTCTAGTGTTCTGTTGTTTCTATAGTTTCTCCATGCCCTTTTAGTTAGTTGCTTTGCTAGCTTGCAACTCTGATTAAACCATGGGTTTCTCATTTCCATTTCATTTTTTTCCTTTTGGACTGGGACGTACTTGTCTGCTGCCTCCTTACACTTCTGTGTGATGTAGTCCATCATGTCTTGAACCGTCTTTCCTCTGAGCTCTGTTTCCCAAGCTAGTTCAGTTAGGAATTTTCTCATCTCCTCATAATTTCCCTTCCGGAATGCAGGCCTCTTGTTTTCTGGTCCCTTCCTTGAGTACATTAACCCTTCTTCGACCAGATATTCAAACAACAGTACACTGTGATCACTCATACCCACGGGGGCTTCAAGACCGATTTCCCTTATGTCTGAATCGTTCAGAGTGAATGCTAGGTCGAGAATTGATGGTTCATCGATCATTGCCTGTCATTCTCGTGGGACCCTTGACATGCTGACTTAAAAAGTTTCTAGTCGTCACCTCTAGCAGTTTCGCTCTTCATGTTTCCTAACCTCCATGTGGTTCTCTGTTTTCCCAGTCTATCCTTCCATGATTAAAGTCCCCCATGATGAGCAGATGGGATCGGTTTCTACAGGCAGCAGCGGCTGCTCTCTCAATGATAATGTTAACTGCCATGTTGTTTCTGTCATACTCTTGCCTGGGTCTTCTTTCATTTGATGGTGGGTTATATATCACTGTTACTACTACTCTTGGTCCTCCCATCGTCATGGTGCTTGTGATGAAGTCTCTGAACCCTTCACAGTCCGGAACAACCATCTCCTCGAAACTCCATTCCTTTCTCATCAGTAGAGCCACTCCGCCTCCTCCCCTTCCTTCCCTCTCTTTCCTTATTACAGTGTAGTCCTGGGGAAACACCGCATTCATTATGATTCCTGAGAGTTTTGTTTCTGTGAGTCCAATTACATCTGGGTTTACTTCTTGTGTTCTTTCCCTAAGTTCACTAGCCTTGTTTGTAATCCCATCTATGTTCGTGTACATGACCTTGAAGCTGACTCTCTTCTGTCCATTCTCAGTTTCTGTTGATTCCACTGGAGTTAGGGGGCAAGGGATGTCTGGGAAGGGTAAGCCTAGGATGGGGGACCTGGGGGGTCTGGGGTGTGAGGGGGGCTGGGAGGGTCTGGAACACGGGGGCTAGGGGGGGGCTGTCGTGAAGCAGCTGAGGGGGTCCGGGGTTGGGGATTCGTTGGGTCATGTGATGGGGGAGCTGGAGGAGCATGTGGTGGGAGGTCACGGGTTGGGGTATGCAGGGTAGACTGGGATGGGTTGACAGGGAGGTCAGGGGTTGGCAAGGGGAGGGGGCTGGGAGAGAGGGGGGTGGGGTAGAGAGGAGAACTTGGGATGGGGAAACTGGGAAGGGCACAGGCTGGAGAAACAAGGAAGGGCATGGGGGTGCAGGAACAGTGAGGGTCTGGGGGAGAAAAAGGGCATGGGGGGAACATGGGAGGGTCTGGGATCGGGGAACATGGGGGGCATGGTCTGAAGGGGGACTTTACTGTCTGGGGAGGTGCAGGTGATTGGTGGGGGATGGCTGAGCGGTTGGTTGGTGGGAGGCTTCTGTTACAGTCCTCCCTGGGGATGCTGGTCTGCTGGTGGGGGGATTCCCACTCCCCTCTGAGGTTCCTGGAGACACTGAGCTGAGTCCTGTGGCTCCCATATCCCCACCCCTTTCTCTGCGTCTCCTCCTTGTTTCTGCAGCCTTCCTTCTCTCCTCCCTTGTCATGTCCCTTTGCAGAAAGACGTCCTCGTATCCCCCTAACCTCTCAAGTCTGCTCTTCCTGGATAGGATTTTCTCCCTTGTTGCCTCGTTCGTGAGCACTACCTTTATCAATCGTTTCCTTTCCCGCTTGTAGATGCCTAGGCAGAAAATCTTCTCTATGTTTCCATCTACCTCCTCCATATCCAGTCCCTCCAAGATCTCTGTCATGATTGCTCGGTCCCTCCTTCTCCACTCCTCCCGAGTGGATCCCTCTGGTGTTGTACTCCTACAACTATAATTGTTCGTTTCCTTTCCAGCGTTTGTTCAGTGCATTTTGCAGCTTCCTGTGAGGTAGCTGCTTTCATAGCTGCTGCCTCTAGAGCGGCCTTGGCACTTGGGCTCTTCTGCAGTATTTCTGCAAAAGAGAGTCCCCCTGGAAGGAGCCTTCCATCAGCTTCGTCTCCTGTTTCCAGGAGGTTGCATACCCTGTGCTGGTTTGAATTCCGATTTTCCCTGAGTCTCTTTATCTCCTGTCTGGCTTCCTCTAACTCACTCCTTTGGTTCTGTATTAATGTTTGCATTTCCTGCAGGTCTCTGCCAAACCTCTCTTTCATGTCCTGCAGGTCTCTGCTGAATCCCATTTTCATTTCTTGCAGATCTCTGTTGAACCCCATTTGCATTTCCTGCAGGTCTCTGCCAAACCTCTCTTTCATGTCCTGAAGGTCTCTGCCGAATCCCCCTCTAATGTCTGGTTGAGCCATTCAAAGGTAGTATCCACCATTCTCCTCTGTCCCTGTCCCTGGTGATGTCCCCCATCATTTTCCCTGGCTGAGGGAAAAAACGTCCTGGCTTTTTCTTGTGCGTGTGTTTGTGCTTATGAGTGTGTGTTTGTTGTATGTGTGTGTTTGTGCGTGTGCGTGCAAGTGCGTGCGTGCGTGTTCGCTTGTGTGTGTTTGTAGGGGAGGGGACGCCTGGGAAACTGGAGGGGGGGGGGTGGGGGTTAGAGGGGGCGGAGATGTCACTTCAGGTCAGGTGGTCAGATAGTGGGAGGGAGTCCCACTGTGTAGGAGGGGTTTGGGTGTAGGGGGGGGGGGGAAATCTGGTATACTACAGAGGCAGTGTGAAAGGGGGGGGGGGGGTGATGTATGTGTGATGTATGTGTGGTGATGTATGTGTGATGTGATGTATGATGTATTTTAAGCTGTCATTGCAATCAATCATAGCTACCTATGTGCTTTAATATACTGTACCTATAATTTTCTCTCATCTTCTTTTTTTTCATTTCATGTAATCTGTTATCATTTTTTGTCTATAAATTTTGCAAGTATTTACCTCCTTAAAATTTTCTTAGATTAAGGACCTGCCCGAAACGCTGCGCGTGCTAGTGGCTTTACAAGACTGTAATTACCATATTTGTATCCTCACATTCCTTATGTACATTCTTGTATATGCATAAATAAATAAATAAATAAATAAATAAATAAATAAATAAATAAATAAATAAATAAATAAATAAATAAATGTGTGTGTGTGTATTTCTGGTCAGTTGTAGGGGGGAAGTGGGAGTGGGGGAAGTATTGTGGTAGAGTGAGTTGGGGAGCGTACTTGCGTGCGTGTGTGCTTGCGTGCGTGCGTGCGCGTGCGGAGTAAGTGTATTGGGAGGTTAGGGGGAGAGGCACACAAGAGAACTATTTGTGTATACTTAGGGGGAAGGAGGAGGAGGAGGGTGATAGATAGGAGGTATGGTCAGTTGTCCAACAGTTGTCAACTAAGTGTCAAAGGCCGCTATCTAGCCGGTTCCCATGCATGGGGGAAGGGGGGGGGGAGGGTTTCGGGAAAGATGGGGTGGGAAAGATGGGGGATGGTGGGGGGGTGGGGGGTTATCCTGTGACTGGAGTGATGTTTCACATAAGTAAAAACGTTTCGTATTTTGATTTACTCCATCCCTTTACTGTGTGTGTGTGTGTGTGTGTGTGTGTGTGTTTGTGTATGTGTTTGCTTGTGTATGTGTTTGCTTGAGCGTGTCACGAGGGTCCCCAATGTGTCACACTTCTACCCGGAATGAGCCACTTTGAGAGTCTAAATATATATGATAAACTGAACAAGATTTCTCTAATGATTGTCTTCACTGTACATCAGTTAACTGACAGAAGCAGGCAGTACAGTTAACTGACAGAAGTGGGCAGTACAGTTAACTGACAGAAGTGGGCAGTACAGTTAACTGACAGAAGTAGGCAGTACAGTTAACTGACAGAAGCAGGCAGTACAGTTAACTGACAGAAGCAGGCAGTACAGTTAACTGACAGAAGTAGGCAGTACAGTTAACTGACAGAAGCAGGCAGTACAGTTAACTGACAGAAGTGGGCAGTACAGTTAACTGACAGAAGTAGGCAGTACAGTTAACTGACAGAAGTAGGCAGTACAGTTAACTGACAGAAGTAGGCAGTACAGTTAACTGACAGAAGTAGGCAGTACAGTTAACTGACAGAAGTGGGCAGTACAGTTAACTGACAGAAGTGGGCAGTACAGTTAACTGACAGAAGTGGGCAGTACAGTTAACTGACAGAAGTGGGCAGTACAGTTAACTGACAGAAGTAGGCAGTACAGTTAACTGACAGAAGTAGGCAGTACAGTTAACTGACAGAAGTAGGCAGTACAGTTAACTGACAGAAGTAGGCAGTACAGTTAACTGACAGAAGTAGGCAGTACAGTTAACTGACAGAAGTAGGCAGTACAGTTAACTGACAGAAGTGGGCAGTACAGTTAACTGACAGAAGTAGGCAGTACAGTTAACTGACAGAAGTAGGCAGTACAGTTAACTGACAGAAGTGGGCAGTACAGTTAACTGACAGAAGTAGGCAGTACAGTTAACTGACAGAAGTAGGCAGTACAGTTAACTGACAGAAGTAGGCAGTACAGTTAACTGACAGAAGTAGGCAGTACAGTTAACTGACAGAAGTAGGCAGTACAGTTAACTGACAGAAGTAGGCAGTACAGTTAACTGACAGAAGTAGGCAGTACAGTTAACTGACAGAAGTGGGCAGTACAGTTAACTGACAGAAGTGGGCAGTACAGTTAACTGACAGAAGTGGGCAGTACAGTTAACTGACAGAAGTGGGCAGTACAGTTAACTGACAGAAGTAGGCAGTACAGTTAACTGACAGAAGTGGGCAGTACAGTTAACTGACAGAAGTAGGCAGTACAGTTAACTGACAGAAGTGGGCAGTACAGTTAACTGACAGAAGTAGGCAGTACAGTTAACTGACAGAAGTAGGCAGTACAGTTAACTGACAGAAGTAGGCAGTACAGTTAACTGACAGAAGTAGGCAGTACAGTTAACTGACAGAAGTAGGCAGTACTCACCGGCCAAAACCGTCCCGCTCGCACAACCAGGTGAGTATATAATGATGTCCTTGTGTCGAGGTCCTCGGTGGATTCGTCGTCTCTCCACGTGGCGTGGAGTCCCACTCTTACACTGAGTGCCAGTGGCTCGGTGCTGCTGGTGGTTTCAGTATGCTGTATCCTTTCGCCTGTTGTGTTACCGTTCACTAATTTACTGCATCACTGTTCACTATAGCCCAAGTACACCTTGATACAAATATGTAAACATCGGCCACGTGGCCCTATGCTCCTCACGTGGCCTGTAGCTGTGATTATTATGTTTAACACAAAAGTTCTAGTGATATCACTGTGTTTATTTTTTATATGTGCGGTTATACACTTTGTGATATCCCAGTTCTGTATCAATCACTGTAAACCTAAGAAGCCCGATTTTATGGACGATTCCTGGACAGGTGACGATTCCCAGGACGATTCCCTGGACAGATGTAATAGGACCCATTATCACCACACCAGAAATAAATATCTCTTTGATATCCCCAGAGTCAAACTTAATCTGTGTAAACACTCTATGCAAATAAAGGGACCCAGTCTATGGAACTCACTCCCTATTGAATTGAAAAGCTGTCCAACTTTTGCGTCATTCAAAAACAATACTAAAAAGTACCTAATTTCATCTTCATAGTTTTTTACCTTTTCTTTAAAATTGCACTGTATCTATTGCTACCCAATCTCCCAATCTTTATGTACCCAATCTGAACATCTTTATCATTGTGATCATTGCTGTCTTCTTATATGTGCTGTGAATCTGCTGTATGGTGTCCATTAATCTTGTTTAAATTACCAATCAAGCTGTTAGTGTAATCAATCAGAGCTTTAATATACCAATGTGCTTTAATATACTTACTAAGCTCTCTCATCTCATTTTTTTCTTGCAATGTATTTGTTAACATATGGCCACTGCTTCGCAAGCGGGGATGTTTCTAATGGGGGAGAAAGAAACAATTGTGCAGCGCGTCCCGCGGCGTTGCGCGGGCAGTCTGGGGCCATATAAATATTGGGGTAAAGAGGAGCTCTGCCCTCACTTCGCCTGCCCTCGCCGCTGCCCTCGCAAATGCTGCCCGACCGTCGCAGTACTCGAAACTGCGCCGCGCTGCGCCTCAATGACACGTGGACCAGTACTCAGTCCTGCATTCATCAGTCTGTCGATACGGCAGGGGCCCCTGCCCTACTCATCCTACTCTAAGGTAATGTAAAAATTTTCTATTAAAGTTTAGTCAGGACTGTCCAGTGTCTGGCGTGTGTTGGCGCCTTCCCCCCGCGGTCCGTGTGGGCCTCCTTAGTTCCCTAGTGCCTTCTGCACGTTCGCCTGTCTTGAGGTATGCAGGCGCGCCTTTCAGTCTGCGCCAGGCGCTGCCGCAATACCCCGGGTAGGCGTGTGTTTACGCCGTGTCCTGAGTGAACCGCCCTGGTAGTGTATTCTCCCAGGCGTGCACTATGAGCACTGGTCAGCTGTGTTCCCTAGGCGTGCGCCTAGGGGCCCCGGTTCGTGCCCCGCTTGGACGTGCGTGCCTGGCCGGGCCCCCTGCGAGCGGCCCGGCGTCGCCCTTGGAGGCGCCCACGTGGACAGGTTGCTGTGGTCCTATGCCAAGGACCATGGTGCGTGCCGTGCCCGGACGTGCGTGCACGGCAGGCTCCCTGTGAGCGGCCTGGCGGCCTCCAAAGGATACCTAATCAACCAGGCTGTGCCTCATCGTCAGGCTGCGAGGAGCCGCGTCCAACAGCCTGGTTGATCAGTCCGGCTACCAGGAGGCTTGGTCGAC